CCCCCCGCCCCGGCGCTGCCCCGACTCCCGCGGGCCTGGCCCTGGCGGCCGGCCCTGCAGGCAGCGTTCATTGACTCTGGCTTTAGTTTCAGGCGCCTCAAAGCAGATAAAGAAAGGGAGTGTTGATGGAGGACAGATTGGCCACTGCTCACCTCAAAGGGGACGTAGAATGGCAGAAAGAGCCATGGGCCAGCCTAAATTGACGGGAGAGTCAAGCAGGTTGGTCCCGACCCCCAGGGTGACACGCTAGGGCCGTTGTGGTGGTGCCAGCGTTGGCTGCGTGTGGTATCGGTCACTCCACGGGGCAGAAGCCGTTTCTGCAGAAAAAGTCCACTGTGGGGAAGCAAGGCTAGTGAGCGTCATAGGGTGTCTTGACCTCCCTCGGCTCTATCTCCCCGAAAGCGGTAGTTTGCCTCGGGGTGGGCCTGGGGCAGAGGGCGGAGGTGCGGCCCACAGGCAGTGAGAGCTCCCTCTGTGCCCATGACAGGGGACCAGTCTGGGAGCACCCGGAGCCTTCGGACAGAGCCCGTTCAGCCAGCCGCCCACGGCACCTCATCAACAGTGAGTCTCACCTCGGTCTCTGCCTCAAGAGGCTCTCTCTTTCCAGCTGCTTCCAGGGAGGGCCAGCCAATAGCCTGAAGTTCTGGGTGTGGGCAGGTCCCATCCCTTTGGCCCTGTCCGCTGGCCCCTCTGTGTCTAGCCTGTTCATAGCCCGCTGAGCGGTCCCGGGGTGAGAGCCTTCCCGGAGGCCTTCCTGGAGGCGGAGGGCCTCCCGGCCCAGGCCCTCAGGCACTGTGTTCATTGATTCTTCACTTTCTTGCAGTGCTTTTCCTCCGAGGAGCTCGGCCTGCTTCCCCAGCATCGCTGCTAAGGTGAACGGAAACCCCCCCAGCACCCCTGTGAGGTGGGTGACTTCTCGCTCCGTCGGGACGGGTGGCACTGGGGCCCCGGCCACTGCCAGTAGGGGGCGGGGGAGCAGCGAAGGGCGAGGGCGAGGCCGGCGTGGCGGGAGGGGGCCTCAGGCCAGGAGGAGGGGGGTGTGACCTGCTCTGGGACGAATGACCCTCTCGTCTTCCCAGCGGTCCTCCGGCCTTCCTGACCCAGGGATGGGGCAGCACCTACCAGGCGTGGCAACAGCCCACCCAGCAGGTCCCAAGTAAGTGACTCGGGAGGAGGCGGGACCGTGCGCGCCGCGCGGAGGCCGAGGGGCTGCTGTGTCTGACGCGCGGGCTGGGGAGCCGCCGGCAGGCCCTGCGGAGACAGGGTGTGTGTGGGTCTCAGCGGCTGCCCGGCTGAGCGGCTGGCTCCCTCCCGTCCACCTCTCAGGGCTGCCTTTCCCTTCTGCTCTGTCCTTCTCAGGGCCGCACTCCTGTCCGCTCTGCTCCCACCACCGGGGCAGGGAGGCCTGGGGGTTGGGCCTGGCCCTGCCCTCCTTTCTCCCCCAGGCTGTGCCCGCTTTCGGGGCTCCCCGCCCACTCCCCACGGTGGCTCCCCGCGGTGACCGTCTCCCCTCCTTGTCTCCAGCGCGGTCAGGCCGTTCTTTCTACCTCCTGGATTTGCCGGAGGATGAGCTGTGCCGGGTGATGCCTCTCCCGACAGCTGATTATAGGAGAAGGGTCCCCGCAGCCTGCCCTCCGGCCCCCACGTGGCCTCATGAGTCGCTCTGGAGCTTTATTGCTGGTACAGCCTTCGAAAACAAGAACGAGACAAAAAGCTCACCTTCAGATGTGGGGCCCTCTGAAGCGGCCGCCTGTGTTTGGAAAGGGTCCTGTGGTCTGTCTGCACGAGGTCCTTGCGGCTCTGCCCCCGAGGGCCCGAGCCCGCGTTCTGGGCTCCCCTGCCGCCCCCCCCCCCCCCGGGCGCGGCTGGACAGGCCCGCGTGGAAGCCGACTCGGGGCGGCCCTCCGCACAGTCCCCTTCTCTGGGCCCCCGTCTGGTCATGTGTGGCACGAAGGGTTTAGACTGCATTCCCACCGTACCCGGGAGGTCTGAGATGGCACGCTTGCCTTCTGTTGTTCCTTTTCTTCCGCGGTATTTGCGAGGCGTCTCAAACGCGCGGGATACCGTCGAGAATTGTCCCGCCGACTCGTGCGCCCTGCCTGGTGTCCACCGGGCCCGGGCTTCACGGCGCCCACTTTGTCCCAGAGCCTCTTCCCGTTTTCTTTCCTTCTGTGCCGGTCAGCTTTAGGGCCCTCAGGACGAGAGGTGACCCGGGTCAGGTTCATGTTTGCCCCGGCGTCGAGGACCGAGACTCTGAGAAAGTCCTGGACTCGGGGCAAGAGACAGGGGCCATGGCGTCCCTCCGGAGGGGAGCTGACCCCGGGGCCGCGGTTCCGCGGAGGCCCAGCCCGGCCGCCCGCCTCGGCCCAGGTTGGCCAGGAGGGCTTGGCGGAGGCACGTGGGACGAGTCCAAGAAAGCACCGTCGGGGCCTGGCTTCCTGCCGCCGTTCCCAGCCTTCGCCGTTGCCAGCCCTCTGGGTCTGACAGAGGAGCCCTTGGTGCCCCCCCCCACCCCTCCTCAGATGCAGTAAATTAACTCGAGGGGAAGACACTCTGCAGTGAACGTGGGCACCATAGCACGTGCTGCCTGCCGGCCGCCAACTGCAGTGGTGACAGAAAACAGGACGCTGCGGGGGTCTTAGCAGGTGACGCGAAAGCCAGCCCTGACCTCGGCAGAAAGGAAGGCCCCGACTTGTCGCCCCGCTCCAGGCTTCTCGTCCCTCCACGCCCGGGGCTGGCCGCTGCCACCCTGTTCCGCAGCCCAGCCCTCGCGGCCGGCACCACACAGAGCGCACACCCCGGGGAGTGCGCTGGACGCGACCCCACGCGCCTCCTCTCCCGCCCCGCTCCTGTCCCGGAAAGGCGCGAAGCTAGATTGGGATCAGGCGCACTGGGTGGCCCTCGGCCCCTCTGCCGTGTGGCCCTCGTCTTCCCGTCTTCACCGTGGCAATCTCCGGGCCGTTTTCCCTGTACTCTGCTCGTCCAGGGTGAAAGCCGCCAGTTCTCGAACAGAAGGGCCAGGGGAAGGGTGCGGGCAGCACCACTTGGATCTTCTGTCCCGTCTGAAGGCCGATTCGGGGAGCCTCAGACGCAGTCGCCCCAACCCCGGGGCTCCCTGCAGCTCGGATCTCCACCCTAAGGGTCCGGGCCGGTCCCACCAGTTGCGGGGGGGACAGCCGTCCTGCCCGGCCCCACCCTTACGGGGACCGTAGTCACACCTGTCTGCCCGTCGGCCTGTCCCTGCGGCCAGCCTGCTGCCGCCTTCCCCAGCCGCAGGGCCTGGAGCGAGCGCAGAGCAGGGCCCGGCGCCGGGGGCCTGACCCTTTGTGTTCTCCGCACAGGCCAGCAGAGCCAGCCGCAGAACAGCCAGCCCGACTACAGCAAGGCCTGGGAAGACTATTACAAAAAACAGAGTGAGTGAGACGGCCTTCCGAGCAAGCAGACCCCTAGGCCCAGAGGCCCCACGCCTTAGGCTTCGTCGGCCGTGCCTCCCCGTCACCTTTGTTCTTCAGCGCTTTCCCTGTGTGACTCGATCTCAGTCCTGCCTTTGTCTCCCTGGGTCCCTGTGTGTCTGTCAGAGGAGACGTCCCCCCCGCCCCCCAACCCCTTCTGGATGCCACAGGGCCTGAGGACAGCTCAGGGCCGGCTGTCCCTGCCTCGGCCGCCCCCTTTAGAACCACTTGGCCAGGACTTAGACCAGCCAGGCGTCCTCTTCCGTGACCGGCTTTTTCTGGTCGTTTCCGGGTGGGGAAGAGGAAGGACAAAACTCAGGGCGGGAGTCTAAAATTGGAGGGGGTGTTGAGGTGCTGGCCTCCCGCCTCGAGGAAGCTCATTTTCTTAGCTGTGCCAGAAACAAAACCCATCTTTTTAACGAGAGAAGGAAGAGATTTGGGAACAGCAACCAGAAAAGCCCCCAAATAACTCATTGAAAATTCGTGCGACATCCTCCGTATGTATTTGCGAAACTGCCGAGCCACAGTGGCTGTCGGGGAAGACGGCTCACGTGCCTTGATTTCGAAGGGTGTCACCTGCTGGTTGGAGCGGCTCAGGTCAGAGGCCGCTGAGGAGATGTTCGCCCTGGTGTTTGGGATCATCACCAGGTGGATAGCCCTTCCAGGGACTTCGATGGGGGTCAGGGAGGTAATCGGCACCCCAAGCACCTGCTGAAAGGCCAGATGCCCCGTCTTCCCCAGACCTCCTGAGTCTAGACTCCCAGACATACGTGGGCCTGTGTTTCCAGCCCTGGTGGGATTGGCCCCTCCCCTCCGCACAGGTGCACCCCACACCCAAGCCAGGT